CCAAACAATTTATCACATAAGCAATTTAGTCGCACATGGCAAGCATACTGTTCATGGCAACACCTGCACACGCATTTTTGCGGTATGCTAGCAGGAAAATACTTACATAGTACTCCGTGCCAAAACAATAAACTAGTTAGCCAACATGCATGGTCCTAGTTCATGTCAGATTGCCTAATGTAACACATACAGGATGCAATCAAAGTAGGCTCGGCTAACCTAAGCATGGCATGTGAAATGCGATCAATTGATGCACGTATTCAATTTGGAATTGGAGTACAAATGTAGTTAGCGTGATGTACCGAGCCTGATGCATGCAATACAAATGCATGAATGCACGCATGCGTAGCATAAGGTATGCTAATTTTAAATATGCCCTAGTCTACCATTATAAACAGGTAAATAAAAGGGAAGAAAGACGTGGGTTGGAAGACATACACACACTCACGCACACTTATTACATCATTGCCCTCACTCGGAGGGTCCGAATAAATATTATAGTCCGAATGATAAGCAAATAAATTATTACAGAATTTCTAATTTACTTAACAGAATGAGTGCCAATAAAAATAGAAAGGTGGTCACAGCCCCCGCCTCGGGATGCGCGAATGATGCATGCTCGAACCCGTCTCGCCCGGAAAGCCCACACCATACCATTGCTGCCTCTGTTTTTGCTGCCTTACTTCTCTGAAAAATGCCAAAATTCTGGGACAGGTTTGTTGCATACTGCAGAGTACCACCGGCTGGGGGAAATTCCCACCGGCAGTGTATAACTTCCATCGGCTGATGATTGAGTCATCGGCCATTCACAAATGGCCGGTCGGCACTGAATTTTGCCGGTCGGCAGAAACTTCCTGCAGAAGACAGTTTTGACAGCAACAGAGGACAGACAGCATATGGCATAGGATTTCAGGCACATGTGAGCTTGGTCATGTTTCCCATCATGTGTTGAACTCAGGGAAGCATGGCCCTCGATCCTCGAGCCATCAATTGTGCATGATAGCCCAAGAGATCAAGCTTGCCATTTGATGTAAGGATGCATGCAACACACAAATGAGGACCAAGGCCTTATCATGTCGAAGTCAAAGGCCCCGGTGACCGAGAGTTAAGGTACGTTGCACCACTTACAGTATGAACGCTCCTTAACCCTCACACTTGGTTTGACGCCCCAAACCAAGTAATGCAATGCATGTTATGCAAACAATGACTCAAAGGCACAACATGAGATTGAAAATGCAAGGCATGCCAAATGCCATGCAACTAATATGGCAAGTATGCAATGCTAGGCATGCAAGATGCAAATGCAATGCAAACATGGACGATTTAAGCAATGGGATCAACATATTACAACACTTAATGAAGCAATTATGCAATGGACACGAGACAAGCATGCAAAGGGGCCTTAAACCATAAAAGGGCAGACCTTCATCCACCCCAAAACAGTGGCCAAAAGTGCCTAAAAAGGTGGACAAATACTCATGCCAACAAGCAAGCCAATGGTCCTAAGGTTAAGGCCCAAAAGGGGCCACTTTACTTCTACCAATATGACCAATCATGGCATGAATTAGACAAGTAAAAACAGAATTTTTACATGCAAAAATGGACTCCAAAACCTCCTAATATGACAGCTTAGGTGCCTCTAATGAAATGCATGCACCAAAACTCATTTCTAGGCATAAAAGGGCACACCCTCAAAGAATGAAAGAGGTCACATATGCAAGCATGCAAGCATGATTTATGGGCTGAAATGTGACCCTAAATGATGGCAAATCATGAGGATGGTCTAAGCTGTGCATGTTGGAGGTCAATATACTCAAGGCTTACAAGTCAAAATACAAAGAGAGGACACCATACATGGCAAGCATGACTGAAACAAATGGCCAACAGACCTTGAACATGGTGAAATAATGCCAATATCTTCATGAAACTAGGCTAACACATGCAAGGATCATGGCCTAAACACAAGATGCATTTCTAGACCAAATAGAGAGATGTAAAGCAAGTATGTTAAGCATGCAAAAGGCCACAAATCCGACTAAAAACAGAGATGACATATGACCTAAAAACACCCAAAAACCTCTGAAAAAGGGTCAAAACCAAGCAAGCAAGCATGCATGTTACCCTTCAAGCCAAAATGCAAGGAAATAAGACAATGAAGGGAGAGAGGTGTCCCTCCCCTATGCAAGACTTCAAACCACCTTCCTCACCACTGAAAATCCACTGGTTTTCAGTGGTGAGAAGACCAAAATGCTCAAGCAAACAAGGCCTCACCAAGGAGGCAACAAAAAGGCCAAATAAGGCCTAAGAGGGTGAGTTTGAACTCAAACCACAAAAGACCCTTAATGAAAGTTCTTAAGCATGAAAATATAAGCCTTTTTTATGTTATGCACAAAAACTAAATCAGCAAGCAAGATAGGTAAAAGACTAGTGCAAGTTTGGGAAAACTAAAGCAAAGTGCTCACCCTTGAAGCACACCTCAAGAACAGCCAATACAGCCCTCTTCTTCTTATCAAAGCAGCCCAAAAACTCAAGAATCAACCCTCAAAGTCCCTCAATCTCGGAGCAAGGTGTAATAGTGTGTGTATTAGTGCAAAAGTAAGGTAAAAGCACACTTTTAGGCCAAGAAACACACACAAGGGAGGAGAGAGAGGGAAATATAGAGAGAGGGCGTATCTATATGTATAAGCTCTGGTTTTTGCCTTCAAAATTTCTAACCAAGAACAAGGAGAAGAGCTCCCCTCTTATAGAAGTCCCTCTTGCAAAGCTTACACAACAAGCTTGCTTAGAGGGAAATCCCTCCATACACGTGTATGGAGGGAAGCAGAGTTGGTGCCAGCTATCACAGCTGGCACAAAATATCTACATAAAGTAGATGAACAGTAGTCGGCTCCTCAAAAATGCCATTTTGACAAAATTGAGTGCCGACCGGCAAAAAAAGGTGCCGACCAGCAAAAAAGATTGCCGACTGAAACAAAACGCCAGCCGGTAGCCTGTGGCTATGGCCGGTGATGTGTGGGGATGCCTCACAAGGCATTCCTTGCCCCTCCAAGGCAAAACACAAGTGTTTGGTGCAAAACCAGACACTAAATGGTCGAGTTCGGAGATCCTGAGGCAAGGCGCGTAGCCGGGACTTCCGGGAACTCCAAACGAACACAAACATGGATGATCACCGGGTGTTCAAACGGTGACGTCCAAGTCTTGAGGATGGTCAAAAATGGGGTGTCTACAGTTACTAAAATAGCATGTTCCCAAACGAGGCCTTAGTACATATTGCATCCTGTGATTTGAAAAATTGCAAACACATCCTTGTTAGAATTTTTTTATTTAACAGAATTAACTAAAAAAATGAAATTCATAATCTTCTATACAATAATAAAATTACCTAAATTATTAATTGAAACATATTTTTAACGTCATTAAAAACTGTTAATTGACTTGATGATTTATTAACAAAATGGATAATTTGTTATGAAATTAGAAATTTCAAGGAATGGAATATAATTTCTAAAATCACAGAGACTGGAATGTAATTTAATTAAACCTTAGAGAGTGTATTTGTAATTTACCCAAAAAAAAAAAAAGAAAAGGCAGTCCAATACTGAAAGCTAATGTGTAAAAGTTGAAATTTCAATAATAATAAGTTAATGTCCAATAACATGTGATAGGCTTCAACAGAGCTTATTTGGTCCAGTCACATAATTCTAGAAATCCAAAACAACTTTAAAAAAAACAAACCAAAAAAAAAAAAAACCAAAATATAAGGAAAAAAAAAAAATAAATAAATAAAGGGACCGCATTTGAGCTGCCAAACTCTATATCTCAAATGAAAGAAACAACTGTTAGTTTTCTACTATCCTTGTCTTGTATGTATATAATTCTTTCTGCCTTTCAATATCTGCCATATGCGTTTGGTGAAACTAAGAATAATGTTAGAATTTTCAAAAATTTTACTAAATATCTTACATAAGTGTGAGACCCACTCTATGTGATCCCATGTGAATCTTATACCTACGTAAGACATTTGGTAGAAATTTTGATAAAACTTTTAGCATCTCTAACATTTTTAATGAAACTAGGCTCATAACAACTTATGTGTAAAAATAACCGACGGTTAAAAAGTGAGGAGCTATATCTTAAACAAGTTGAGAGAGAGTGAATTCTCTGTAAAAATATATTGTATTTTAAATCAATGTACATGTCTCCTTTATATAAGAGAAAGAAAATAAGATAAGGAAGTCTACAACTATACATAGCTATCTATATATATATATATTTAAACCTATCTATCTACAAACAAATCTATCTAGATATATATACATTAACAGCCCCCCTCAAACTGAAGGAGTATAAACATCAACCAACTTAAGTTTGGAAACAAGTTCAATGAAGCAGCCAGGAGAATGAGCTTTGGTGAAGATATTAGCAGGTTGATCAGCAGAAGAGATCGGATGGAAATAAACAGTACCGCGAGTAACATGTTGACGAATAAAATGGCAGTAAATCTTAATGTGCTTGGTGCGATCATGAAAAACATTATTGTGAGCAATCTGCATATCACTTTGATTATCACAATAGAGGTCAGTAGCACCAGAGGAGGTAACATCCATGTCAACAAGAAGCCAACGAAGCCAGAGAAGCTCCTAAGTAGTATCAGCAAGAGCACAGTATTCGGCCTCTGCACTTGAACAAGCTATAAGGGATTGTTTCTTGCTGCGCCAAGAAATAAGAGAATTGCCTAAAAAGAAGCAGAAACCTGTAATAGAGCGTTGGTCAATAGGATCCCCAGCCCAATCAGCATCGGAGAAGGCACGAAGCTGAAGAGATGAGTGCGTGGAATAATGAAGACCATGAAACAAGATGCCTTTGAAATAGCAAAGGATACAAACTAAAGCATCATAATGAGGTGTACGAGGAGCCGACATATACTGGTTGACAATATGGACTGCATAGGCAATATCAGGACGAGTAACAGTGAGATAGACAAGGCTGCCAACCAGCTGACGATACAGGGTAGCATCAGAGAGGAGAGTGCCATCAAGAGGAGTAAGACGACTCTGAGTCTCCAGGGGAGTGGAGGCAGTCTTGCAATCTTTAAGACTAGCACGAGCGAGAAGATCAGAGGTATACTTAGCCTGAGAGAAATGAACCCATGGAATCATGTGAGATTTCAAGACCTAAGAAATAGCTGAGAGGACCAAGGTCTTTCATCTCGAAATGATAGCTAAGAAACTATTTGAGGCGAAGAATACCAGCTACATCATCACCGGTGATAATCATGTCATCCACATAAAGCAGAAGTAGGGTGGTCCCCTGAGCAGTTTTCCTCACAAAAAGAGCAGTATCATAAGAACTAGAGGTGAAACCACAATCATGAATAGTAGAGATGAACTTGGCAAACCAAGCGCGCGGGGCTCGCTTAAGACCATATAATGTGTGCTGAAGTTTGCTGACCTTATGAGGTGGATAAGTAGACCCAGGGGGAGGTTGCATGTAGACCTCCTTGAGAAGATCACCATTAAGGAAAGCATTTTTTACGTCCATTTGGTAAAGGTCCCATTGACGGGTGGCAGCAACAACAATCAAGCTACGAACAGAGGTGAGACGGCCAACAGGAGCAAAGGTCTCCTCATAATCAATACGATATTCGTAATTGAAGCCTTTTGCAACAAGGCGGGCTTTGTATCTCTCAATAAAGCCATCAGAGTGGGTCATGATTTTGTACACCCGTTTGCAGCCAATGGTAGCCTTGCCAAGGGGAAGATCAACAACGTCCCAAGTATGAGTTTTGTCTAAAGCTTGCAATTCATCAGTCATAGCATGTTTCCAAAGAGGATTAGAGCGAGCCTCACGATAGGATGTAGGTTCATGAATAGAAAAAGCAGTGGAACCAACAATATAATCACGAAGACGAGTAGAAGGTTGGGTTACCCAGTGTGGTCATAGCAGAGAGTAGAGGAGCCAGAGGGCATGGGAAAGACTCAACAGGAGGTGAGGATCCTGAGGGAGCAAGAGCAGGACCATTAGAGCGAGCAGGCTCATTGGAAAAACCAGTAAGAAATGTGGTCTCTAAAGGTGTAGGCAGGGGCCGTGGATCAATCTCATCAGAAAATAGATCTGTGGAAGGGTTAGTAAAAAATAGAGATGGTGAGGGAGTGGATAAATAGAATTGGGAGAGAGAGAAAAACATTTTGTGTTCCCAAAAAACAATATGACGAGAGATACGGAGGAGCTGGGAGATAGGATCCTAACAACGATACCCTTTATGCTCAATACCATACCCCAAGAAGCAACAAAGACGTGAACGAGGTTCAAGTTTGTTGTGTTCATGAGGTTGGAGAAGAACAAAACATGCAGACCCAAAGAACCTAAGATTGGTGTAAGGGGGACCAGTGCCATGCAAATGCTCATAGAGAGTGTGATTATGAATGACAGACATAGGGATACAATTTATAGTGTAAGCAGCAGTGAGAGCAGCTTCGCCCCAAAAATTTTTCGAACAAGAGAAAGAGAGAAGGAGAGCTCGAGTAGTATCAAGAATATACCTATGTTTTCATTCAGCATGTCCATTTTGTTGAGACGTGCCTGGACAATAACGTTGAGGTTGAATACCATGACTCTGAAGAAAAGAAAGAAAATCAAAATCTTTATATTCCATGGCATTGTCGGAGCGAAAAATCTTAATAGTTTTAGAAAATTGGGTTTATACCATTGTAGCAAAATTGTAATAAAGTTGTTTGAGCTCAGAGAGATTTTTCATAAGAAACAACCATGTAAAACGGGAAAAATCATCTATAAAAAAAACAAAATAGTGTGCGCCTCCCATAGTAGAAGTAGGGGAGGGGCCTCAAGCATCAGAATGGATGAGATCAAAAGGTGCAAGAGAAATAGAGTCACTTTTATTAAACGATAATGCAGGTAGTTTGGCAAGTTCACATGACAAACAATATAAAGTATCAGAACTGACAGGACCTAATTGACCACTAGAAATTAAAGACTTTAACCGACCAACAGAAAGATGTCCTAAATGACAATGACAATGCCAAAGCTGAAAAGAAAATAAAAGATGAGCAATAGTAGGAGCTGCGAGCTAAGAAGAAACTGGAACATGAAGGTGAATGAGTTCATAGAGACGTCCATGCTTACGGCCGATCCCAAGAGTCCGTTCCATCCGAGGGTCCTGCACCAAACAACCAGTATGGGAAGGGGTAATAGTTAGACCATGCTCACACATTTGACCAATGGAGATAAGATTTAAACTAAGAGTAGGCATAAGATACACATGGGATAAAGATAAGTGAGAAGTAGAAATAGAACCAACATGACTTATAGACAAAAGAGACCCGTCAGCAATATGAATAGAAGGAACATGAGGATCAGAAGAGAGAGAAGTAAAAATAGTAGGGTCAGAGGTCATGTGATGACAACAAATTGAGTTAAAGTACGAGGAAGTGTTATCTGAGGTGACAGACAAAGCAGTAGAGGAAGGAGTACCGGAAGTGGAGAGAAATTGTTGGAACATGGCTTTGACATCGGTTTGAGAAAAGAATGGAGTAGAAGGGTCTATAGGCACAGAATAAGGTAAATCCTCTGAGGCAACAATAGTAGTGCGATGAATAGGTATAGATTTAAACTGATTCCCAAACGTTGAGAGTTGCCCCATGAAAAACTCCCAGTGGAAGGACCATTGCGAGAGGATGAACCAGGAGAGGCCCATGCTGGATTGCGGAAGCAATCTTTCTATAGATGACCAGGACTAGTCTTGTTGCAAAACCAACAAAGGCGAATTGGACAATGAATCAGAAGATGAGTAGACGAAAGAGCTCGATTTTGACAGTAATTGCAAGTAGTGGACCGCTGTGGTGAACGAGAACTCCGAGTCTGGAGAGTAGCAAGAACAGAGTCCACAGGGTGTGGATAGAGAGTACCAAGCCCAGTTTCCTCTCATATTAGTTCGGAAATAGCCTGCTCAAGAGTGGGTAAAGGAGTGCGATGAAGGAGAGATGCACACACTAGCTCAAAATGGGGAGTTAGAGCCATAAGAAACTGAACCAATTGCTGCTGGTCGCGACAAGTAGTAAACAGGGCAGCATCCTCAGTATGGGGCCATGAAGGTTCAGAGAGAGCGAGCTGATCCCAAACAGAATAAATTTGGGAGAGGAAATCATTAATAGTCTGAGTTGGCTCTTGGCACATACGGTGAAGATGACTCTGAAGCTGATATTGGTGAGCAAGACCAGTAGTCTGATATCGATCTTTCAAAAAATCCTAGATGACTTTTTCCAGAGTGGAAATAGAGTCAAGTTGGAACCGACCAAACTGAAGGCTGATAGATGTAGTAGACGTATTCCGAAGCCAAGTGATGATCTGATAGTTTTTACTATCCCAATCCTCCAAGCGGTCTACATATTCGTCAACCGATCCAGCGGTCTCGTGGATGGGTTTGCGCACATCCCAGTGATAATACGCCAAAGTTTCTTGCCTTTGAGGAAGCCATACATGGCATGTGCCCATAAGACATAATTGGTCCCGTCAAGAACAACTGAAATAGGGTGGCAAGAAGAGTCCGGGCAATCCATGAATTAAAAACAACACTATAGATTCAGAATCTGAAAAAATCGAGGGTACCAGTGAATTCAAAGGGTTGAAATTAGTGGGGAATCAATCTAAACCGGCCCAAAAAGGCCAAAAACAAGACTGAACCGGTCTATTGAAGAGGTTGAACCGATTTGAGGCTAAACCGGACTAGGGTTGATGTCAGCCGCGTGGGTCAACGTGGGTCAGCAGCAGTGTGGGAGAGTCAGGCGCGAACGGTTAAGGCAGCTCAAGCGGCTGAGACGAAGTGAGCGGCGCGAGTCTGTGGCGGCTAGGGTGCGAGTGGTTGAGGTGGCTCAAGCGGCTGAGGGCTGTGAGTTTGCGGGGCTGACATAGGGTATGTAAGATGACGGAAGTGGAAGCAAGTGACGCGCCGATGATAAAAGTGGCGCGTGAGGGCGTATGCAATCTGATCTAAGGATGTCGTTGGTGGCGTTGGAATCATGAGAAGATTTCGAGCACTTTGGTTGGCTGTGTGAAAATTTTGGAGAACAAAAAGGATCTGAACAGTGACGAAACAGAGATAAATACCAGAAAATTTCTGGTTAATGAGCCATAACCTTGTGCTCTGATACCATGTTAAACAAGTTGAGAGAGAGAGAGAGAGAATTCTCTGTAAAAATATATTGTATTTTAAATCAATGTACATGGTCTCTTTTATATAGGAGAAAGAAGATAAGATAAGGAAGTCTATAACTACACATAGCTATCTATATATATATATATATTTAAATCTATCTATCTACAAACAAATCTATCTAGATGTATATACATTAACACTATAGAACAAATTAAATTATGCACTTGGGATCGTATAAAACCAATTGTGGCTTAATGTCAAACACAATAATATCACCATTCTTTGAAATACTCAAAGGCAAGGATCTACGTACAACTTGATCCTCCTAAGAAGCTTATAATCCTAAAAATGCATCTAAGTTGGTAACCAATTTAGTCCAAGACTCTCTAATCCTGTATTCCATACATCGACATTAGCATATGTTTGACCATTGAAAACAAGTACACAAAGGAAGCATTTTGATCCTCCAAAAATCCCAAAACTCCATAGACAACTTCCATCTCCATAATTGGGCTACGGTATCTCCCTGTACTTCTCTTTTGCTAAATTGAAGCAAACAATGCTCTTTAGAGAGCTCAAAGCCTTATACGATTTGGCTTCCCAATGGAGAACTCCATTAATGTATCTACCAGGATTGTATGGATCCAATTACCATTATTGTGAATCATTTCCCCAAAAATAACTATATAGATACTATGACAAGAATAAAAAATAGCTGAACTCTAAAAATGGTGACGTAGGCGTAAGGCCTATTTGATGCTCATATGGGTCACTTGGGCTTAAAATCATAAAAGAGCAGGCTAAAGTGTGGATTTAAAATATGGGATTAACTCCTCTCCAGTTGGCCCAATTAGAGTGTTCTTTTGTCCTCCTTAGGCCCATCATGAAGTTCACATTGATAATTTAAACCGTTCAATATGTGGAGTTCATTGAATATTTCATTTCTATAAAAAATCACGGCGATCAGATATTAACAATTTATTTTTA